AGATTCTGTGCTCCTATGAAGGCTTCCCAGGTGTCTCAAGTGCTAAAGAATCCACCTGCCAATGCAGGAGACACAGGAGATGTAGGTTCGATCCCTGGGCCAGAAAGATCCACTGGAGGAGGAAATGGCAACCTGCTCCAGTATTCTTGCCTGGAAAATCACATGGAGAGAAGAGCCTGGTGGCCTACAGTTCATGGGGTTGCAAAGAGTCAGATACAACTTAGCAACAAAGTATACACACTCTCACACACACACACACACACATGCTCCTATGAAGTCCAGATTTTAACATATTTCTGTTTTGGTGAAAAGGAGATGCTAGAATATCAGTACAGTTTATTTTTCTGAATCCTTGTTTACATTGCATGCCTGCTTGCAGTGCAAAGCACCACTTCAGTGGTGTCTGACTCTTTGTGACCCCATGGACTGTAGCCCACCCAGCTCCTCTGTCTATGGGATTCTCCAGGCAAGAATACTGGAGTGGGCTGCCATTTCCTCCTCCAGGGCTCATTTACCTTATCAGTAGAAAATGTAAAACCCTGGAGTCATCCTAGGCTATTTCCTCAGCACCGATTCCCCATAAACCAGTTGACCACTGAGTTATATCAATTTTACCTCCTAAATATCTCCAAAATCCATCTCCTTCCTCCAGCCTCACTGGCATTGTTTTGCTTTTGTTTTTTTTTTACATTGTTCCATTCCAAAAATGCTTCCTGAATGTCTGTTCTAGGACAATGCCATACTTAGCACTGAGGACACGATGTTGAATAAGATTCAGTCTGTCTTCAAGAAAGATATGTGAGCAAATAGAAAATTACAATATGATGTGGTAAAAAGCTATGCTTTGCAAGAGACCTATAACCCAGCCTGAGAGTCAGGGCTGGAAGGAGGGATCATAGAAGGCTTCCTGGAAGAGGCAACACCTGAGGTGAGTCTTAAAGGCTAAATTATCTAAAACTTCATCCCTTAGTGCCATGTGTCCTGACCCCCACTCCACTGCACCTTCTCCATAACCCCATTATTGCTTATATTTCACCATATGATTATCTATCTATCTGCATTCCTAAGTCCTAAATTGCTAAAAAGCAATTATGAGTTTTACTGATGCTTATAACCCCACTCATGACCATGAGGCTAGCAGACAGTATGCATTTGATGAATTGATTGGTTTTCATTTTAGTGAACAACTCTCAGCCCTAGCGAAGGATACGATTCTCCTGACTTCTTAGGATGGGTGGTAACTCATAGCACAGTTCTGCAAGTACTTTTTAGAGTTTCTGCCGCTCCTTCTACTCAGCTTTCACTTTTTGTTCCTGGCACTGTGTGCACATCTGACCTCTCCAGAAGCCTCCCTAACAGTGACTCCCATAGCTTCCCTGTCTGGGAAGCTGTGTGGACCACAGCTACCTGGACAGAGACTGTGCTCCCTGGGGGTCGACAGGGTCAGGACCAGGGCTGTGCCACCTTCTAGCATCCCCTGTGGGGAGCCACAGTCATCGGCCCAGTGGAATGACTGACTGGGTGAGTGTGCTTTCGTACCTCCGTCTCTGGAAACAATGACAGGAGCTCTGAAACCAGCTTGAAACCTAAACATCGTGGCTTGACTTTTTCTAAACTGGTCTCTGTGGGTAGGTTAAAATGATCATGTTCGAATTTCCAACTATTTTTCTAAGTTGGACCAGAATGAGGCAGTGGAAATTCATTAAAATGCAGTGTTTCCCAGTGTCTGAGACACGCTCCGCCTGGGGTTAGGAAGGTGATTCTACAAGGTACACAAGTGAGCATGTTTTAGTTGAGACTATCTTTGCTTCAGTTTAATGACCTGTGTTAAAAGTCATATATTTATTTACAGCCATCTGTGAGTTGGGGCGAGTAAAAGAGTGCGTTGATTTCAACTCCTTGTTGATGTAAATAATAACACAGATGCTCTTAGAGGACTCAGGTAGAGAAGCACTGTTCTATCACAGGCTTCAAATTTCACACCGACCAGTGACAATCCTTGCAATAGATATGCCAGAGCTGAAAGAAACCTTGGAAGTTATCTGCTCCAATGTACTACTTTATTCACTTATTCACTCAACAAATATATATCTGGCACTTACCGTTTAAAAGGATCTGGATAGAACTGCAGTGAATCAGAGAGGGACAGTCTAGTAGGAGAAACAGATACTAAATCTCAAAGGAATTATGCTTAAGACAGGTTCTGTAAAGAAGCAAAAAGTATATGAAACCATTAATGGCAGGATGATATCTGAATGAAATCTTAAAGGATTAGGAGAAATGAAGCAGGCAGAGCAAGGCTTGAGGGCGGTACTGGAGACAGGTTGGGGAAGAGAAGAGTGTGTGAGGTCCTTTAAGGGCGTGTATCTGGCATAAAGGAAGACCTCAGTCCCTCTCTGGGTGGATATCTGTACCGATCTCCCATGGTAGCTAATTTCACTCAGGATTCATCCAGAAACACAGGCCCAGGAAGTGAATTGACCTGACATTAACCACACCTCCTGAGAGAAGCAGGGTGCAGGCCTCGGTCTGTTCTCTCAAGAGTTCACACATTCGCCTTATGCTGATGTAGTGTCCTGCATTTAGACCCCGTTCTGGGTGCTGGAGACCCTCCAGGAACAGAACAGACAGAGGTCCTGCCCCCACAGAGCCTGTATTCTGACATGGTGGAGAGTCAGTGAGTAAACAAGTCAAGCCAAGCACATCAGTGAGAGAGAAGTGGTTTAGAGCAAGGTGGGGAGGGAGGGGGTTGGTGCTTTGGATGGATGGCCCTCTGAGGATGCATGCAGAGACTTGAAGGAAGTTGGGACAGATCGGATCTCTTGGTCTCACTGAGGGCTTGTTTTTACCACTCCAGGCTATGTGGTAGTATTCAGGCTCTTTCCGCTCTCCCTGTTGCTAAGAGCAGAGTCAGACCCTTAGCTCTAATTATATGCTGCCAGACAAAACATTTTAATAGGAAATGTAGTCTCCTCGGTGTGATCCAGGAGGGATCTGCCAGAAGGAATCTTCCCCTAGGAATGCTAAATTGCTTGGGGATTCTAGAGCATCCTGTGGGCATTTGGGGTATGCAACTGTTTCCCAGTATGCAACCATCACTGGTTCTGGTAAAGTCCAGAGTGGGCCCTGTAATCAGAGGGAAACTTTTGCCCTGAGCCCACAGTGACACACCCAGTGCTGCTTCCTCCCTGGGTACCAGGACAGCAGCTGCTCTCTTCTTAACTGCCTTTTCAAAATACTAGTCTTTACTCAATGACACTAAAAACCATGCTTTCCCCTTTGGTATTTGAAAAAAAGCCTTTGGTATTTGTGATTAGACACCAGCACAACGATATTGCTTTCTTGTTCGGTGATGATGTTTAAAATCCTACAGTGCTTCTGAGTTTAGCAGCTTTTTAACTGTTCTAGGCAAACAAAAGAATTTAAGAGACAAAAACATCGAATTCATCAACAGGGAAGGGACACATGTCTACTTGTGGTTGATTGACATCACTGTACAACAACAACTGATATGACATTGTAAAGCAATTATCCTCCAATTAAAAATAATTTAAAAACAACTTTGAATTCAATCACTCCAAAGTATTAGAACAATGGTGAAATTTTATCCCGAAGGACCTAAAGTTGCCTGATTGGCAAATGTGAATATTTCACATCCCCTCTAATACCTGGAGTTCCAAAGTAATGAAACAGCCTAAGAATGGTAGCCAAGACAGGAGACTCCCAGCTCCGTGGCAGCAAAGCACAAATTCAGCTGTGAGGGTGCCTGTCCCCGGAAAACACCGCGGGCCTGAAAGTGAGCCAATGAGAGGCCATGGCTGGTTCACCACTCCCTCTCGGGCCCATGGGAAAGCCAGGGGGCAGATTCCTGACCCAGGNCACCACTCCCTCTCGGGCCCATGGGAAAGCCAGGGGGCAGATTCCTGACCCAGGATGCCAGCTCCTCCAAATACTGCTCAACAAGGAAGGCTTCCCCATTACTGATGGCCTCGAAGCCTGCCCTGGGAAGCCCTAAGTCAACAGCACGAAATGAAGGCAGAGTCCCCACCCCCAAACCCCTCCACTCACCACAGCGTTCCCTGCCTGTGGGCCTGTCTAATAATGAGGTCCCCAGTGGGATAAGACGTGGGGGCACAGGGTGTTGATGGGGAGGCAGGAAGGAGAAAGGGCAAGAAACAAAGGGATACTTTTGGAATATGAAAGAGAAGGTAGTCCCCAGTGGATAGATAAATGACTATGTGATTGAAGAGACTGGATGGTGAGAAAACAAGAGAAGAGATGCCAAGGATGAAAACCACAGAGGCCTTCAGGACACCCTGTCTATTCCTACCACAAAACACCAAGTCCCAGGGTTGTCTGTGTGCAGCAGAGACAGAATGGATGCTTTGTGGAAGCGAATTAGCCATCACACAAATCACTCTCTGAAACTGCCCATGGTTACTCTGCTGAAGCAGGGTCCGTTTGATGCAAAACAATAGTCAGGCTACATGACTCATTCAACTGAAGGGCTGGCTGTATGGGTAAGGTTTTTAGATAGTATGGCAAGTTTCCTGTGGTAGAATCTTCACTGCATTCAGACTTCTATTTGGCCTCTAATAACATTCTTAATTGCATGGCACCTGGAAGGAACATAATCAAGCTTTAGCATCATTTCCACTTAGTTCCTTGTAGTCTATGCAGCTTGAGTTATCTTTCAAACGTGTGTCTACTAAACCATTCCAAGCAGTTAGTTTACATGTGCAACCGTTTGATCTGATCTGATAGTTACCCATTGTACTGAATGAAATTCTAGCATGCTGTCTTAGGATATCCAGGACAAAGAAACACAACTTATTTCATTAAAATCAAAATCTGCTAGGGGCTAAGTTCACACTGGGCATAATTAATTATCATCAAGCCCTACACTATTCTATGCTTACTCCTTAAGTAGACAATAATTATATACATGGCATCTATGTAAGTCTCATTATATTGTATCCCAGAAATCTGTCATTTTCTTTGAGTAAATATTACATGATTTAATTCTGGTTGTACACTTTTAGATTAAACTCATACAATGCACTTGGGAATGACAAAACATATTCAAAATGAAAGCATTCTTTGAAAATACAGAAAATGTGCATATTAATGATAACTTTTCTCCAAAATGTTATTGCATTAAATTCCTCTAGACATCTAACTTGCTGTTAGCACTATGTACAAAATATTTAAAAGAAAATACACTGCTGTAAATTGATCTCTGGTTGTGCTCATTATATTTCAAAATAATAAAACAATCCCACTTGGCTCCTTGAATTACTTAATACTTTCCAAGAACTGTTTAATCCAGGAAAGAAGAATATCCAGTTCACTGATGGCTTTGTAGATTCCTTTATTTCCAATCTGCAGATAAAGTAGAAATATTAGAAGCAGAAATATTTCATATCTTAAAAAAAAAGTACCCAAAGACAAGAATTTGGTATACTTACCTCATAAAATGTTCTTTTCATCCTGGTAATGGATTTCATCTCTCTAGCTGATGAAGCACAGGAAATCTAAGAAATTAGCAGTAAATACAGAAATATTGCTGAAGAAGTTCCAGTACTCACTCTTCCATCCACTCAACCAACAATTTTTGAGCATGTTGTGGGCATGAAATACACTGGCAAGTAAATAATACGCTGGCCTCTGTCCTAACAAAGTTTACAGTTTCATGAGGGAGAATAATGATAAATTTTAAAAAAAAGAAAAATCAAAATTTACAAACTGCAACTAAAACTGTGTTTGTAATTCATGTCTCTATGATAGGGATCTACAGAAATGACCCTCTTTCAACTGGATAGTCAGAGAGGGTTCTTTTGAGGAATGACACTTAAATTAAGGCCTGAACGGGGGGAGGCAGCAGGTATATGAGGAAGTAAAGAAAGAAAAGAGGGATTTGGAAAGGATACACAGGTGGAAAAATAATACACAGGGAACCTGAGCGAAAGGTGGGCAAACGTCCTGAGGCAAGAAAGATTACGCCTTCCAGAAACTTAAAGAAACCATGGCTGGAGCAAGAGAGATGCTGGAAACACAAGAGCTGTGGGAATGATGAGAAAAAAATTTTACTTTTTGAAAAATCACTCTGGCTGTTTGAAATATTGCATAGTACAATATTCAGATGTTGATTCCCAGGAGAAAGCACCAGGAAATGAATATTAGTTTCTAAACTGGAAGAAGAGTAAGCTAGTGTCTTGAGAAGACAGCCTGTAGCCTGACTTGGGGTGGGGAGAGATTGGTAAATGCTGGTCTCCTTTGAGGAGGTGAGTTTTCAAATCTGAGCATGATTATCACTTAGAAGTCATGGAGGAAGAAATTCTCCAACTTCCGTTCCTCAGCTTTTTTTCTCCCACAGATTCCCATAGGGAAGACCTTGCATCGGAAGGTAGAAATTCTTCCTGTGAAAGAGGCTTTTGTGATGAGGCATGGAAGAGCTGCACACAGAATGTGAAGGTTCCGTCTGCAGGACTCACAAGCATAAGGGCCAAACCTCCCTGTGATAAGAGCCATGAATTTAGGGGACGTTTCCTCCCACACCAGACCCTGTGAGGCCAAAACAAGGTGGAACCGATCCAAGACAGTGGTAGCCAGAATCAGCGCATACAGTCAGGAAGAATTCATTTCTTTGTTAAACAAGCATTCATGAAGTGCCTACTAAGTGTCAGATCATGTGTCAGGCACTAAAGACATAATAATGAGCAAAACAGAGCTAGCAAATAGGATAGTGGTAGATGGGAAAATCAATAAAATACAAGATCAATAATAGAAGATAAAACTCTAGCAGTTCTTCTTTATCCCAATTTCCCTTCATGTGAAGATTGTTAGATAAAAAATAATAGTAGTCAACATGTATTTTGTTAGCATTCTGTGTCAGGCACTAATATGAAGGCTTTGGTTATATTAACTCATTCAGTCCTCAAAACAACCTTATGAGGTAGGTACTATTATCACCCCCATTTTACAGGTTAGAAAACCCAAGCATTGAAGTTAACATTCTGTCAATGTTCACATAGTATTAATAAGTGGAAGAGCTGAGATCCAAACCCAGGTATTTTGACTCCAGAGTATGTATTTAAAAGCCACTATATTACACTATTTATACACTATATATACAATATTATACTATTTTTTTATATTTAAAAAAACTGTATAACTTGGAAAAGATATTCCAGCCAAGACATTCTCCTGTGGAAAATCTTAAATATCCAGTTCCAAAGAAAGCTTAGGTCAAAGATTCCTACTCTGTATTATCCCGGGGGAAATACTGGGAATGCCTCTAAAACCCTAAGCTAATTGACAGAGAAAGACACAGAGAGAGAGAGACTGCACAGTGAGGTAATGAACAAAAGACGAAACCCTGTGTGTGTGTGTTTTTGTGTGTGTTTATGTGTGTTTGCATGTGTGTTTGTGTGTGTTTATGTGTGTTTGTGTGTGTGTTTATGTGTGTTTGTGTGTGTGTTTGTGTGTGTGTTTGCATGTTTGTGTGTGTGTTTATGTGTGTGTGTTTGTGTTTGTGTTTGTGTTTGTGTGTGTGTTTGTGTGTGTGTGTTTCTGTGTGTGTTTATGTGTGTGTGTGTTTGTGTGTGTTTATGTGTGTGTGTGTTTGTGTTTGTGTGTGTGTGTTTGTGTGTGTTTATGTGTGTTTGTGTGTGTGTTTGTGTGTGTGTGTTTGTGTGTGTTTATGTGTGTTTGTGTGTGTNAATCAGAGATAGACCACTATGATAGACCTTGACATGGGATTTAAACCTTAGAAAAAAATATGAATGAGATTATATAGATAAACCACTATCAAAATACTCTAGGTAGTAAGTACTTAGTCTTTTGTGTACTTTGGAGCCTGCTGGTTGTTATTTTGACAGATATTAGCTAATTCGCATTCACAGAGGTGAATAAATACATTCATGGAGGTGAAAGGGGGTGGTGATATTAGAACCTGATCCTCTGGGTTTCTGCAAGGGGAAATTGCTATTATGACCTTCCCCTCTTCCTTGACTGTCATCCAGTCCTTGCTCTGATCAAGAAGAGAGTGACCTCAGGAAGGGGCTTGGCATGAACACCTAAGGGATCTAGTCAGGCGCTTCCTCAATGTGGTAAGGACTCAAGCTCCCCGGCCTAATATTTTTTAAAAAAACTAACAAAGAGGCCTCTTAATTGCTAATAACCTAGCAAAGTAGTTTTTCATACTAGAACTTAAGAAATATGTCTTTGAAAGCCTACTGTGGGACTTCCCTGGAAGTACAGTGGATAAGAATTCACCTGCCAATGCAGGGGACATGGTTTGAACCTCTGGTCCAGAATATTCCACATGCTTTGGGGCAACTAAGCCTGTGAGCCACAGTTACTGAGCCTGAAAGCTGCAACTAATGAAACCCATGTGCCTAGAGTCTGTATTCCACAACAAGAGAAGTCACCACAATAAGAAGCCCATGCACCACAATGAAGAATAGCCCTAACTCACTGCAACTAGAGAAAGCCTGCACGCAGTAATGAAGACTCAGCACAGCCAAAAATAAATAAATACTGGGGGAAAAAAAAAAAGATTTAACACTGAAAATGTGAGACCGAAGAAGCCAACCAAATTCTGGACATTAGAGAAATTAAATGTCATTAAGGCATTCCTTGATGACGAGGCCCTCTCCCCAGACAGCTTGGGCCTACGGGGCCTCCCATAGTAGGGTAGGGATTAAAAGAAAGGTTTGTGACTTCACCCCATCTAAGGCACATGCCACCCTAAGAAGAACAAAGAGAGCAGAAGGGGAGAAAAACAAGGTTTGGCAAAAAATAAAAACCCATCACTTAATAGTGGCACTGTTTCCTCTAGAGCTCTGCAGGTTTATGGGATTCTTTCTGGTGCCTTGAGCTCTGTTTACTATAAATGACCCCTAGTAAATGCAAGAGTTTTCACTTTCCTCGCTGTTATAAACATGTCTATAGACCCAGTAGGATAGCCTGATTTTACTGCTAATTCAGATTTCTTTGCTTGGAAGGAGGGATTCCTTTTACCTTGTATTTCAAGGTATAGTTCCATTTGCAGAAAACAGCATGCAAAATGAAAGGGCAGCAGTTTTGTTCTAAGAACGGCTGCATGATTTGACAGACTCAGGCAAAGCAGTTATGACCTGGATGAGAGGCAATTTATTAGTAGGGCTGGAATAACCAGAGATTGGCTCAAAAACAAAAAATAATGTGTGTGTGATAGTCACGGAATAACACAACACAAGGCAACAGCCTAATCATTCACCATTAAGTCAATGGATGTTTATTGCATACTTACTATATGCTGGGCATATAATCGTGTCTCTGACCACATAGCATTTATTTTACTTAATTTATAAAAGTGCCCAACATGCTGAAAACAGCCTTGGGGCACAAGCAATGGCCCGTAATTGTCAGAGACAGCAAAGGAAAATCACAATACTACATGATACTATTGTGATTTAAAAACAAAACCCGTTCTAAGGACACAGCAGAGGCCATCCAACTGTGGGACCCCAGGAGGCTTCCAGAAGGAAAAAACAAGAGCGTTGCATCTTAAAGGGTGACTAGAATGGAATGGAAGAAACAGAATGGGTGAGTAGGCAGAGGAAGCCCGATGCTCAAAGGTTGGAGAGAACAGAGATTATGTATTTATTTGTTATTATTATTATTATTATTTTGGGGGGCCACAGTTGGCAGCATGTGGGATCCTAGTTCCCTAACCAGGGATCGAACCTGTGCTGCCCGCATTAGGACTGCGGAGTCTTAAGCACTGGGCAACCAGGGAAGTCCAACAGTGATAATGCAAACACCCTTCTGGGCTCAGATTCAGTTACCTGTGATACGGCCCCCAACCTCCAGCCCTCAGCATCCTCTTGTTTCCTCCCTTCATGGCACCTATCAAAATCCGAGAGTTGCTGAAACTGACTGAGGGCATTCTCAAAAGAATTCTGTACAGAAAGAGATATTATCTATCAATTTTTGTTGAATTTCCAGCATCTGGAATAGTGTTCAGCAACACTAGATACCCAGTGCTTGTTTAATGAATGAATCAATGAATGAAATGCAAGCATCAGCTTAGAGCTTTGGGGTTCACAAAGCCCACTGTTTTAATATTAATAGTAGTCTGAAGTATATACTGGGCATTAGTGAGCTCTGTTTAAAAGAATTTTATGAAAAAATAAATGTAATCCTTAAATCTGAATCCCCAGTATCCACAACGTGTTTGAAAAATCATGAGAATATGTATTGTGTATTATATACACTAAAGCAAAACTGAATAATCCCTCTCCACTGATAATTCTGAGGAAATGAAATAGCTTGGCCAGGGAGCGGACAGCTGTACATGTCATAGTCTCTCACCCTGTATTCTCACAAATAATGAACTCAAATTCTTCCTACAAAAGGAGTTTTACTATACTATAGTCTTTTATGAGCATGTACCAGGCTTCCCAGGCGGCATTAGAGATGAAGAACCCGCCTGCCAACACAGGAGACCGTAAGAGATGCGGGTTCGATCCCTCGGTTGGGAAGATCC